ACAAAGAAAAGCAAATGCAGCTACAATAAACCCCTAATAATTCATTCAAACTGGTAGAAGGTTATTGATTCCTTTGAGGATTTTAATGTTTGGAGTTCTGGAGAAAGCCTGGAGCTCAAAAAGATACGTGTTGTTCATTAAAATTGAAATGATTACTACACATTATGTCTTAAAAACCTTGTGGATTATTGGAATTAAAAAGAGAATACTATAGGGGACTAAATTTTAGTTTCTTTAATGCTAATTGTATTTACCTAGCAGTTTCACCCAGCTGAACAAATAAACTGCAAATTAATCCACTCAAAAACATAGAGTTAACTTGTTCATAGGGGATAATCTGATTTCTTGGGTTTTCTCAGAGATACTTTACCTTGGGTATAAGCTATCGTAATGTTCATAAATCTGATTTTAACCACATTGAATTGATTTGAATTTGATGTGTATAACTGCCACATGCAGCAAAAAGGAAACATTAGTTATGAGGTTAATGACAGTCAGTTTCCAAGCAAAATGTATACGGTGAGATCATCACCAGGCCAATTACTTGATTTTACGCTGTTTAGATTTGAGTTTACGGCTCTGTGGAACATAAAAGTGTCTGATGATTATTCTCTTCAATACATCATGTCAACCAGTTAACCTTAGAAAACTAGTCCTGTTAGCTCTCAGTGTCAGTGAGGAATACTCTTTGAGAGTTCTGGCAAAATACTTAAAGACTTTCTTTTCATTTCATTTATTTATTCATTTCACACTTGGTACAACAGATCAAACAAACCAACCACACTTTCTATCAATAAAGCACTACAACCATGTGTGAAAAGGAGCAGGAAGAAGAAAAATACTTTCTTTTCAATTGCAAGCTGTTAAAGGAACTCGTAGCAATAAAACTGACAATGAACGTGATATAAAGAAACTACCACAGCTACAAACAGGTAAGCCAAATCTTTCAAAAGGTCAGGTTTGGCCCCCGGGGACATGACATTGACATGTGTTTGTGTTTTTGCTGTATAATCAGCTATTTCCATAAACGTACTTTCATTACAAAAATGTTTTGAATAAAGACCAAATCAAATGAGGAACCTGTAAATAGAAGTTACAAGATGTTAGCCCGCTTTCTATCACGCCACATTTCTTACCTTTGATCTTGTATCTGCACTAATCTAATTAATCTGTTGATTAGAAATATAAACTACCACATCAGCGGTCCATTAACTTAGCAGCCACACCTACTAACAGTTGAAGAATAACAATAAAATCCATTCAGATCCTCTCACTCAACTCTCTCAAGCAACAATTATATATCTTCAGTCGTTGACCTTTTAGTGTGGAGTCACTGACGTTACAATCAGATCATCACTGTCCTTTTGAGTTTCACAAACCTGTCCACGGACCCATCTCTTATCTCTTATCCCACACCTCTCTGCTCTTTATCTGTTTGCAATTTATCCACTGCTGGATTCAAAAAACAGATATTGTTTAGTTTCTTTCTTTTACTTTGTTTCATGTTGGAAATTAATAAGTATATTCTTGAACAAAAATATGGTTTATAAATAAACTGTATTGACTTATTTTTAGCTTTGGTCAAATTAAATAGCAGCATCAGTTTGTTAGAGCTTCGGTAAAGCCAGACCAAACTGGACCATGAATAAAATAAGGCTTGATGAGTCGAGGAAATCACAGTATTGAAGTGAAAGCATGGAAACCAGTAAACTAATAAAATTTATTATCTTAGTATTTCTGATACAAAAGCTATACCTTCACTAGCTGAAGCAGATGGCCTCCCCTCTCTGAGCCCAAATCTGTCTGACATTTGAATTTTTACATTGCAGTTTAAAGTGATTTGCATCAACTGCTTTTTGGCAGTATTAAAAACAAGAAAAATTAAAACAACACCCTCGATAACAGCTTTGTAATGAAAATATATGGGGCTAATTTAAATGAGTGTTACTATTAGAAATATCAGGCACACAAAAATGACCACTATGACTGACAGATTTAAAAAAAAAAAAAAAGGAAAAAAAGGAAAATTTCTGAGCCAGAAAAAGCTGGCAGACAGCTGGACGTAGCAGGGAATGTTAGCTCAGATCAGAAGACAGCTCACTTTAATGAAAACGAGCTCACAGTTCTTTGAGTTTTCAAAGTTAAAGTCACAAATGAAAAGAACACAAAACTAAAACAAAAGCAACACAGTAAACCACATGAGAAAAATTCAATTACAACAGTTCTGTGCTGGAAATGTTAAGTAGAAATGAAAAAAATGACACCTGTAATTTGTATATTTTTAAGAAACAGTCCCCAAATAAAAGGAAAGTAAGTATACATTCAACTTTGTGAACCTGAACCTTGTGTTGCACTTTTTTGCAAAAAAAAGTTAAAATTTTCTGCAAGTTGACTAATCAGGGAATTATGTCATTGATTGCACTGTTTTAAGTTTTACAGGTCATCACAAAAACTACCTCAGTATGAACCTCTCTAAAACCCTAGATACAAACTAAAGTCGCCTCTATTTGTTAAGGAAACTAAGATCTCCTGGCATCTGCAGTAAATTGCTGGAGATGTTCTGTCAGTCTGTAACTGCAAGTGTGATTTTCTATGCTGCGGCCTGCTGGGAAGACAGCATCAGAAACATGGATGCAAGGAGGCTGGGCAAAGCAGTGAAGAAAGCTGGCAGATTGGACACACTGCGGGTGGTACAGGAACAGAAAAACATCAGTACTGGATGATCATTCGCACCCACAGCCATCAGGCTTTTAAATTCTCATACAAATAGGACATGAGTTATGTCAGACACTCAAGTTTCCCTTTGGGATCAAGAAAGTTATTCTCATTCTTATCAATGCAAATGTTCTGGCAGGAAACCCAATGTTCACCAGCTGAACAATGAAATGAAACTTGACTTTTAAACAGTCCAAGAATGAGCAAATCAGAAAGCCAGCGAGCCTTCATCTCCTCTTTTGAATTCAGTTTGTAATAACTTCTGTGCCCTCGTCCTTTCTTTTCATAAGTACATTTTTATTTGTATTTTTTCCCATTCCTCACACTGACCAAATTTTCTCACAGAATAAATAAATAAATAGACAAACTTCTCCAAAGATAAAAACAAACAAACAAATAAAAACGATCACAAATAAACAAAAACAAACAATCAAAAGTTGGAATCAGCGCGCCAAGGAGTTTCGCCTGGTGGTCACGTGACTTCCATCCTAGAATACCTGTGAAAAGTCGGTAAAAGTCAGATTTCTGAGGCTTGCGATCATTTTATGTTCATTATATTCATTATTTATTTATCGAAATGGTTTCTTAACTTTGTTCATAAATATCTAATTATAAATTATTTTATAAATGCCTGATTAGTAGCCAGCGAATGTGGCTAAATTTTTAGCTAACTGTGCAGCAGAAAAATGGCGACTAACGGTCGTGAGGAGGAAAACACTGCTGCCGATGCTGCGATCTGGAGGCAAAGGCTGCTCAAATGCTGGAACTTTGTCCTGGTCAACAAGTTTTTGTTCCTAAGTGTGTTGGGGGTTGCTGGTGGTAAGTGATGACTGGTTAACCCACCAATTACTTTGTTCTGAGCGGTATGGTTTTGTGCTGCTGTTAAATGTATTTTAATTTCACTTTATTGTGATTATTCCAGGTTATTGTTTAGCTGCACAGCGCTCTGTGACTAAATGTCTGTGGAAGTGTTTTATAAATAAACTTACAGGGTTAATTTACTTCTGATGCAAGTCAAACAGTATGAGGCAAGTCAACAGGCTTAATCACTGAATTTTAATCAGGGTAAATGTGAATTAAAATAATGTCAATATTAATTGCGCATGCGCCAGTGGTTTCTTTATTTCCTTCTTTTTCTTTTATGTTGATAGCAGCTGTTATTAAAATGTTTAGCTGGTCACAGATGATCAGAACTCGCTCTTTTTGGCATATTTGTTGCAGGTGAAAATCCCACCAGGTTAAACAGCTACATCTAGTGGGCTAATGGAGCCATCGCAGGTGTTTTCACCGTTTCCACTGTTGACAGTTGAAAGCTGCTGTTGAAATAATTCAAATAAAGTTTACATGGGAACATTAGAAAAGGTTGCTCCTGCAATTTATTTACTAAAATTAAATATTACAATAAAACAGAAAGAATAAAAAAGAAATACAAAATAAAAACCAAATGTGCTAGTTTATACCAAAACAGCACTATTTCTTTTTTAAATTGCAAGTGTAAATAAAAATACTCATTGTTCGTTTAAAAAATCTAACAGACAGGGTTTACACTGATGATTCATTCAGAGTAACTTTCATTTTTATCCAAATCTTTTACAAAGTTGTGGGATGGAAAAATTAGCACGATGAAGGCTAAAAAACAAAAATGAAGGGTTTCTGTCAGAAGTGACTAACTACCAGATAGGTCTGTTATCTAAAAAAAAAAGTCGTCTTTGGGGGGATTTGGAACAATGGAGATATATAAATCCTTCAGTTGAGTCTCATTGTTTTAGGCAGTGAGAAACTGTATTTGGTATAATCACAGTTGGCTGTGTATATACTGTTTTTTCAGGCTTCTGATCCATGGCCTGGTGATTCTGCCAATGATCTTTTTCTTGTTTGTGAGGCGTAACCCCCTCCCTGTCATGAGAGCGGTCACTTTAGTCACTGCAATGCTGATCTCATCCAGGTAAGACACACACTGAGGGCGGTGTTCTGTTGTAATCAGAGGGTAAGTTCAGATGTAATCCTGGATTTACAGGCTTATGAAGGTGGTTCACTTTTTCCTTCCTGGCTTCTGTTAGGCTTTATTTATGACACATTTTTCCATTTTCTTAATACTGCTACTCGTGTTGCAGCCAGTTTCTATTATTAATTTCTGACATAGTCTGACCTTCTTTGTAAAATATGTTGGTTTAAGTGAAGCCAGATAAAGAAAAGGTTTTAGCAAAGGCCTCACAGCTGACCGAGTAAATGTTTTATAATTCCATAGCTGTTCAAGCACTAACAAATGATGTGCTGCCTCTCATAGCTCTGCTGCATTGCCCCTCATGTTTTTGTGCTGTGAGGAGAAACTGAGGATCAAAAGAAAAGTCCCTCGCTTCATGCTGCCCATCTGCACCAGCACCAACATGAACGGAAGCGTCCTTTACGAAGTGGTCGCAGTCGTTTTCATCGCCCAGCTCAACCGCATCAATCTGAACTTGAGCCAGTTATTTACCATTGCGTACCTCAGTATTTCTGTTGTTTCAGGCCTTTAAAAATGCATCATGCAGACTCTGAAGAGTCTGTATGCTTTGCTTTGGTGTGCAGTGTGACGGCAGCAGCCACCAGCATCGGCGCAGGAGGGATCCCAGCTACAGGAGCAGTGACCACTCTGTTTGTTCTGACAGCGGTCGGCTTACCTGCTCAGGATGCCTCTATTCTGGTGGCTGTAGAATGGCTCCTGTAAGTTTCGCTTTCTGTTCATTTTAATGTCTGACACATTACTACTGCTGCCTTTTCACATCTTAAAAACTGTTTGCTGTGTTTGTGTAAAGTTCCAAAGATCTCAGCAAATTCCTGAAGTCCTGCAGTAACTCGAAGTAACTGTTTTGTGGGGCTTTATCATCTTGCATGTCACTGTGGAGGAATTTCAGCCCACTCTTTTCAACAATGCTGCTTCAGTTCATTCAGGTTTTCAGGCATTCATTTATGCACAGCTCTTTTTCAGCCCAGTTCTAGCTGTCGGCAGATGGCCTCACATTTGACTCTAGAATAGTTTGATATACAGAAGAGTTCATGGTCGGCTCAATGACTGAAAGCTGCTGAAGGCCTGGGGCTGCAAAACAAACCCACATCATCACCACTATGATGACTGTTCATATTTGTATTGATGTGCTATGTTTAGCTGTTCATGTGTTTGAGGGTTGAAACTCATTATCAGAGTTCAGAAAGAACAATTTGCTGACTGGCTGCGTTCTGTGGTCATTCTTTGCCTTTCAGAGATCGATGCAACACCATCGTCAACGTCTCTTCAGACTGCATTGGTGTGTCGATCATCTATGAAGTGTCCAAAAAAGAACTGGAGGAGCATAGACAGGAAATGATACAGTAACTATGATGACTTCTTTTCTTTTTAACCATAAGATTTTCTCAGAGGTGCTTAAGGCCCATTTAGGATTTGTTGTTGTTACGATATGATAATTTAGCCTTTTCTTTTTTTGTGTCCCGTTTGGATCTTTAGCCACCAGAATTGTTGTCTTAAGGCCAAGAAAGATGCCAAGTGGATTTATTTTACCAAGTGGATCATCATGGCCTTGCCATATTGGTCCATTTGATTGACCTTTATTATAATTATGAATTTATTTTATTTTCGGTTGCTACAAACGGGACAGAAATGACTGGGGGATAGGACAGGGAGAAAGAATGAAAGAAAGAGAGGGAGAGAAAGAAAACCAGAGGGGAGAAGAGACGGTGAGAAGGGGGGGAAGAAAGAAAAAAAAAAGAAAAGAAAAACAAGCAAAACACCTGGATCACCTGTATGGAGAAAAAAAACAGAAGAGAAAGCAAACAGCAAAGAGCAACATAATAAAAAAAAACAGCACCATCACAATAAAGCTAGCAGTAGATATCAGTAGATACTAAATAATAAACTATATTGTGCAGCACGCAAGATAGACAGCACACAATGTGCTTTGAGGCAGCAGCCAAGAAAGGTGTAGTCCGCGTCTGTGAACACCCGTGTGTACACCTGTGTGCATACCTGTGTGGATCAGCATGCTTGTATTCCAAAGGTTTCTCCATGTAACGATCTGCTAGGGAGTGTGGGGAGCCATAGCCCCGTCCACCACGGTATGAAGCAGGTATGGAGGAGATCCAGGCCCCAGATATCCAGAGGCCCCAGAGTACAAGGACCCGAGGAGGACCACCAAAGGGGGGGGAACCTTGCCTCCTGCTGGGGAGCTCCATATTCATATTGTCCAGTATGCTCCATCTGTCTTTACCCCTCACAGTCCCCGCTCGCTATTCTCACCTCCACACTCTCCCTCTTCTTCCTTTGTCTTCGGTCAACAGTGCCAAAGTTTACAAATTTACACCAGCACCTTAAATGTGTCATGCATGTGCACATCTGCAAAACTTACAGCTGCCTGGGATTTGTGGCATTGTTGCTCTGATTATGTCATAGCCATTGGCACAGCACCAAAATTACAGAATCTGGTCCTCAGAGGACTGCCTGTTCTGAGATCAGTTTCACCCACCATATTTTGAAATATTTAGCAGTTTAGTGACTCATATTAATATATCCCTTAATCTTTTCATATTTATTTTGGCCATAGTTGGAGTGAATATCTGACTTTATGGATGATAACCTGTTTGTTTATGTGTCTGCATGTTTCCACATACATCTCTGTATTCGGCTTTTATTCTAACTATGAAGCACTTGGGTTTTGAAAAGTGCTTTACAAATAAAGTTATTATTATGTCAAAGCAGCTACAGTTCTAACATTATGCCTTACCACAAACCAAAAAAGGTGAAAAAACAAAAACTAGTTGAAGTATTAGTGGTGTCCCTCAACTCACCTGTGCTCAATAAACGGAATGAGAAAAAAAGAAAAGTCAAAAGTGGCCAGAAAAGAATGGCCAGAGAATGGCCAAAAATTTGACCAAGTTAAAAAAAATCTTAATCTTCAGGCTGCAGAGACACAAAGATTTCAACAGAACAATTACCGGTTCCCTCAACAAGGGGAAAGCTATAAGCACATGCATTATTTCTCTATCCTCTCAGGGCATCTCACAGGAAGTGCAAAGTCAGGGTAGAGTAGCCACAAGAGACTGAAACCCAAAACAAAACGGACACTAAAATAGAGCAGATACACTGAAGACACTGCGCTGTCACTGAGGAAACACAATATTTTCAGGTCAGTGCCAGTCACTTGGGTCAAATTTAGGACCAACATACTGACTGTAAGAAATAGATCTACAGTAAGTCCTCATTAAAACCACAGTAAGTGGCAGTGTTGAGGGAATACGTCCAGAATACCTTTTTCATTTTGTCCCACCAACCAATTAGCTGACCTGAGGCTGCTGTGGCTGAAACGCTCCCAGGATGTGCTTCCATAGTTGGCCATAAGTTTCCTATGCAAATGATCCTTCACCTCTGACCTCTGTAAACAGTGCTGAGATAAGTTTTGTGGGCTCAGTCATTCATTTTGATTTATTATGAATTAACCTTATATGTTTAATATTCATACCAACATGGGGAAGCAAAATGCTCATCTCGACGCTTTAAAATGGGATCAACTGGAGCCAGCCTCAAGTGGTCACTGGAGGTACTGCAGTTTTTGGCACAAGAGGCTATGATGGCTTTTTGCGGTTTTCCTCTGTGATCGATTAGTTTGATGTCATTTTAAAGATGCAAATGCAGCATTGACATATGTTCATGTGAAACATGAGACAGAGGTTTTTTCACGTTAAGCAGGGAAATGACGGCAAAGTCAGACAAACTGATAAACTTTATTTAAAAAATAAGTATAAAAAGTCATACAAAAGACTATAAAGAGAACATTTAACTCACAATAATCAAAAGGCACAAGTAACCAACTTGATAAGCCGCACACTGCACACACTGCAGCCTGTTTGGTTTTGTTAGTTCAAAGCTTTCAACAGGCAAAAGTCGTAAAGTTTCTACCAAACAAAATCCAAAGATTCATTTCGTTCACAGCATTTAAAAAAAAGATCTGAAGCCCTGACAGGAAACAACAAATCTGTGCTGCTGGAGTTTTAGGTGGAGTCCTCCTTCCAGCGAACATCGACTCCACTCAGAGGGCATCCAGACCAGCTCTGTCAGCCCTCCTTCCACCAGACCTCCGCAGTCCTGGATCAAAGTTGAGGCACCTCACAGAGTCAGGATCCTGGACCGACGTGGCTTTGCCTAACCATTCCTGCAGAGCAGAATGGGAGTCTCAGTCGTTGGCAGCTAGCCCGAAAAGCTCCAGCAGCTCCTTGTTGTCCTCATCGATGAGATCAGCCGGCTTCTCCCCGCAGTCGTTCTCCAGCTCGGGGTCGGCACCCAGGGAGAGAAGAAAGCTGAAAGAAAGATAAACCGTCGTCAGTGAAAAAGATCACCATGCTTCAGTGTCAGGGAGCGTGACCTTCTACATCTGTGGAGCCACTGTAAACATGATGTCAGCCTCCTCCAGCTGGCTCACTGCGATTCGTGTGGCTTCCTTGGATTTGCATTGCACACAATCTTCCCTTAAGCTAAACTTTTTAACTATAAAGGAGAAAGTCTCGAGGCTCACCGTGCGATGTCTGGGAAGCCATCACTGCAGGCCATGTGCAGAGGGGTCCATCCCTCCTCGTCTCTCTGGTGGATATCTGCTCCATACTGGACCAGGAGCTTCACACACTCCAGGTTCCCAGACAGGACGGCCTCGTGGATTGCAGCCATGCCTGCTCAGAGAGGAAAGCAGGACACAGTTAGCGCACTGAATAAAGTCTGAGAAGAAACATTTCTACTAGTGTAACTGAGCCTTTCATTTGCGTGGCTCTCACCGGAGTGGTAAATGGTGTCGAGCGTCACTCTCTGGGCTCGGATGAAGCGTCCAATCCTTTCTAGCTCGCCCTGTCGCACATAGTCCTGGAAAAGGATGTCATTGGGGAAGTGGACACTTCGGATTGGCTTCAGAGAAGCAGCGCCTCTGCAGGTGATTGGGATGTCCTGGCTGCAAGGTTTGATTCCCAAGGTCTGGGATGCAGGGCAGTGATAGTATTTCATCATGGTCTCTGCAGAAGTTTTCAAATGCAGCAACTAGAAAAAGATCAGTCGGTCTGTTCTCAGTGTGGCTCTCTTGCTTTCTAGTGAAGAGTTCCTCTGAAGGCCCGGCCTCCCCATGGGTCTTTTTATACTCTGTCGGGCTATTTTAGGATGCAACACCTCACAGATCCAGTGGCGAGATTTGGAAGATGAGTAGTCCCTCTGGCAGGCCGTCCCACTGGCCTGTCACAAGCTTCACGTCTCCAGACATTACAGCCAGTAACCCTTACCGCTGCTGTCACCCCCACATGCCCAGATGCTGTTCACTTAAAGATAGCGGTGACATCTTGCCAGCTGGGAGGGGGTGGGAGAAGATGGAGGCTTCTAGTAAACACCAGGCGGTGTTGGTGGGGGGGTCACAGAGGGGTAAGGTTGCTGGCATGTGGAGGCTGTTGACCAGTAACTGCCTGACACAAACAGTCAAGAAAGGACGACTGTCATCATGGTCATCATTATGTGTAACACAGGATGGGTAACTTCCAGATTACTGGGGTTTGCATCATCCTCTTTATCAGTAAGGCAGCACAGTCTTCCTCAGACTCCTTAAATGTGAAGATTTGCTTCATTTCACTTTAAGCTGTTTTTGTCTTTCGAGCTGTGCGATGCTAAAATACAGATGGATGAATTGCCTTGAAGTTTTGTTCAATGATAATCTCCAGATGAAAAATGTAAACACATTTGTGAAGTCCTCTGACTCCGCCTCTTTTAAATTTGTTTTAAAAAAAAAATTTCTCATCAAGTTTGGTATTGAGCCTGTGGTGGCTCCTGGTATCATGTAGAGTGACAGGGAAACACTCGGTGCATTATGGGAAAGCCCCAGCAACCTTTACCTATTGTAGAACAACTAAGGGATGGTCACCTGATACAGCCTTAACTACAAGCTTGGTGAAAAAGGAAAGTTTTAAGCCAAATCTTAAAAGTACAGCCTGAAAACTGAAGGTGATACACTGATTATTTAAGACCTTGCATGCGAAGAGAAAGATTTTAAGTTCTGGTTTTAACAAGAAGCCAATGAAGAGAAGCTAATATGGGCAAAGTAAGTAATAATAAATAAGATGAAGTAAGCATCTCTGCTTAGACAGCCTCCCCTGTGACTTGAATAAATGATGGCGTGGATGAAAAGTGAATGCATGGAGAAATAAAGCAGAATTTAAAAAAAAAAGGCTTTCTGCAATAAAGAAAAGTCTGATGTGAGCCTTTTTTCCCATCTGGCCCTCGCTCACTGACTGACTCATGGGCGTGTTACAGGATTCAGTGATTCATCATCAGATGGTGAGAATGAGACAGTGACTGCGTGCCTGATCATTTTTAACCACAAAAATTCATCCTGGGGACTTTACATCAGCTAAACATGCACCGTCCTGTGTCCACAGCATAGTTTAATCAGTCATTTAAAAAGTTTAGAAACTGAACATCGACGAACAGGTCTGCGGCTCTCACCGAGGAGGGACAATCACACACTGGTTTTTTTTTATTGACTAGTTATTTGTTTAACCACTTAGTATGGAGCTTTGAGACCTTCACGGTGGAATAAGACAAACCAGGAGACAACCCAGCCTCTGGAGAATAATTAACCGAGCCACAGTTTAGGACTGAGAAACTCCTCGCTCCAGTTTCGCAGGCCTCAGTTTGCTGACTGAAAGGCTGCACTGGGAGGGGCAGAGGGCTTGGACTGTTGACCCCACTGCTGACCTCCAGTATGCTGGCTACGTGCCGGAAAGCGGCACAAACACCAGTCAACGGGCACATTAGCAGCCCTGTGAGGCTGTACTGCATGTTCAGCTGATCTGTGAACACAAACAGCTGAAGACGTGCACACACGATGCATTTCGACTTTGCTGGGATTTAATTTTAACTTTAAATACCATAAACAATATGTAGGGTAGTTTTGATTTATTACAGCATTTCAATGAACTACACGTCTGTCTGTGCTATTGATGCGATTCCAGCATCCCAGTTTGGTCCAAAGTTACTTCAGTAATACCTGAAACAAAAAAAACAAAAAATGCTGTTCACTGAAA